ACATTTATGTTGTGTATTTATGTAGATATAGATGCTAGTGGGATCCTTACATTCATGTTGTGTATTTATGTATGATATAGATGCTAGTGGGATCCTTACATTCATGTTGTGTATTTATGTACGATATAGATGCTAGTGGGATCCTTACATTCATGTTGTGTATTTATGTATGATATAGATGCTAGTGGGATCCTTACATTCATGTTGTGTATTTATGTATGATATAGATGCTAGTGGATCCTTACATTCATGTTGTGTATTTATGTATGATATAGATGCTAGTGGAGTCCTTACATTTATGTTGTGTATTTATGTATGATATAGATGCTAGTGGGATCCTTACATTCATGTTGTGTATTTATGTATGATATAGATGCTAGTGGGATCCTTACATTCATGTTGTGTATTTATGTATGATATAGATGCTAGTGGAGTCCTTACATTCATGTTGTGTATTTATGTATGATATAGATGCTAGTGGGTCCTTACATTCATGTTGTGTATTTATGTATGATATAGATGCTAGTGGGTCCTTACATTCATGTTGTGTATTTATGTACGATATAGATGCTAGTGGGATCCTTACATTCATGTTGTGTATTTATGTATGATATAGATGCTAGTGGGATCCTTACATTTATGTTGTGTATTTATGTATGATATAGATGCTAGTGGGATCCTTACATTCATGTTGTGTATTTATGTACGATATAGATGCTAGTGGGATCCTTACATTCATGTTGTGTATTACATAGAAACATAGAAACATAGAATGTGACGGCAGATAAGAACCATTCGGCCCATCTAGTCTGCCCAATTTTCTAAAAACTTTCATTAGTCCCTAGCCTTATCTTATAGTTAGGATAGCCTTATGCCTATCCATGCATGCTTAAACTCCTTTACTGTGTTAACCTCTACCACTTCAGCTGGAAGGCTATTCCATGCATCCACTACCCTCTCAGTAAAGTAATACTTCCTGATATTATTTTTAAACCTTTGTCCTCTAATTTAAGACTATGTCCTCTTGTTGTGGTAGTTTTTCTTCTTTTAAATATAGTCTCCTCCTTTACTGTGTTGATTCCCTTTATGTATTTAAATGTTTCTATCATATCCCCCCTGTCTAGTCTTTCCTCCAAGCTATACATGTTAAGATCCTTTAACCTTTTCTGGTAAGTTTTATCCCGCAATCCATGAACCAGTTTAGTAGCCCTTCTCTGAACCCTCTCTAAGGTATCAATATCCTTCTGAAGATACGGTCTCCGGTACTGTGTACAATACTCCAAGTGAGGTCTCACCAGTGTTCTGTACAATGGCATGAGCACTTCCCTCTTTCTACTGCTAATACCTCTCCCTATACAACCAAGCATTCTGCTAGCATTTCCTGCTGCTCTATTACATTGTCTGCCTACCTTTAAGTCATCAGAAATAATCACCCCTAAATCCTTTCCTCATATGTTGAGGTTAGGACTCTATCAAATATTCTGTACTCTGCCCTTGGGTTTTTACGTCCAAGATGCATTATCTTGCACTTATCCACATTAAATGTCAGTTGCCACAATTCTGACCATTTTCTAGTTTACCTAAATCATTTGTCATTTGGCTTATCCCTCCTGGAACATCAACCCTGTTACATATCTTGGTATCATCAGCAAAAAGACATACCTTACCATCAAGACCTTCTGCAATATCACTAATAAAAATATTAAAGAGAATGGGTCCAAGTACAGATCCCTGGGGTACCCCACTGGTGACAAGCCCAAGCTTTGAATATATTCCATTAACTACAACCCTCTGTTGCCTGTCACTCAGCCACTGCCTTACCCATTCAACAATATTGGAATCCAAACTTAAAGATTGCAGTTTATTGATAAGCCTTCTATGTGCAACAGTGTCAAAGCCTTACTGAAATCTAGGTAAGCAATGTCTACTGCACCACCCTGATCTATAATTTTAGTTACCCAATCAAAAATCAATAAGATTAGTTTGGCATGATCTCCCTGAAGTAAACCCATGTTGTCTCTGATCTTGAAATCCATGTGTTTTTAGATGTTCATCAATCCTATCCTTTAACATGGTTTCCATCACTTTCCCCACTACTGAAGTAAGGCTTACTGGCCTATAGTTGCCCGACTCCTCCCTATTTGTGTATGATATAGATGCTAGTGGGATCCTTACATTCATGTTGTGTATTTATGTACGATATAGATGCTAGTGGGATCCTTACATTCATGTTGTGTATTTATGTATGATATAGATGCTAGTGGGATCCTTACATTTAAGTTGTGTATTTATTTATGATATAGATGCTAGTGGGATCCTTACATTTAAGTTGTGTATTTATGTACGATATAGATGCTAGTGGGATCCTTACATTCATGTTGTGTATTTATGTATGATATAGATGCTAGTGGGATCCTTACATTTAAGTTGTGTATTTATGTACGATATAGATGCTAGTGGGATCCTTACATTCATGTTGTGTATTTATGTATGATATAGATGCTAGTGGGATCCTTACATTCATGTTGTGTATTTATGTATGATATAGATGCTAGTGGAATCCTTACATTCATGTTGTGTATTTATGTATGATATAGATGCTAGTGGAGTCCTTACATTTATGTTGTGTATTTATGTATGATATAGATGCTAGTGGGATCCTTACATTCATGTTGTGTATTTATGTATGATATAGATGCTAGTGGGATCCTTACATTCATGTTGTGTATTTATGTATGATATAGATGCTAGTGGAATCCTTACATTCATGTTGTGTATTTATGTACGATATAGATGCTAGTGGGATCCTTACATTTAAGTTGTGTATTTATGTATGATATAGATGCTAGTGGGATCCTTACATTTAAGTTGTGTATTTATGTACGATATAGATGCTAGTGGGATCCTTACATTCATGTTGTGTATTTATGTATGATATAGATGCTAGTGGGATCCTTACATTTAAGTTGTGTATTTATGTACGATATAGATGCTAGTGGGATCCTTACATTTATGTTGTGTATTTATGTATGATATAGATGCTAGTGGAGTCCTTACATTCATGTTGTGTATTTATGTATGATATAGATGCTAGTGGAGTCCTTACATTTATGTTGTGTATTTATGTATGATATAGATGCTAGTGGAGTCCTTACATTTATGTTGTGTATTTATGTATGATATAGATGCTAGTGGGATCCTTACATTCATGTTGTGTATTTATGTATGATATAGATGCTAGTGGGATCCTTACATTCATGTTGTGTATTTATGTATGATATAGATGCTAGTGGGATCCTTACATTCATGTTGTGTATTTATGTATGATATAGATGCTAGTGGAGTCCTTACATTCATGTTGTGTATTTATGTATGATATAGATGCTAGTGGGATCCTTACATTCATGTTGTGTATTTATGTATGATATAGATGCTAGTGGAGTCCTTACATTTATGTTGTGTATTTATTTATGATATAGATGCTAGTGGGATCCTTACATTCATGTTGTGTATTTATGTATGATATAGATGCTAGTGGAGTCCTTACATTTATGTTGTGTATTTATTTATGATATAGATGCTAGTGAGATCCTTACATTCATGTTGTGTATTTATGTATGATATAGATGCTAGTGGAGTCCTTACATTTATGTTGTGTATTTATTTATGATATACAGATGGTCTTTACTGGGGACTTTTGTATTATTATTCACAGATTATGAAAAGTAAATGAAGACTGCTTGTTAAGTATATATGTATTTGAGCGCATCACTTATATATAGTGGATTAGTGTTTATCATGGTAAATATAGTCCACAAAAGTAGGAGTCCCATTGGTTATCACTGTTCTACTTGGATGTTTTCCCAGTAATGTTTAAGCATTACAATACCAAGATCCTGTGTTTTTACAGCCCTACAAAAAGGCTGCCAAGAATTACGGACTCCGGTTATAACATGGGAGCTCTGCACACAATGTTCCAGTGTCCTGAGTTGTTTATGCATCTTTGCTCGATCTCTGTGTCCTACTCAGGTCTCTGCACACGGTTCTGTTTACAGTTTAACAATCACAGCTCATTATCCTCTACATTGCTAGGCTGCAAGGAGGAAGTATGCAGAATCTGGAAAGAAAAGTGTGGGCAATGAAGCATACTAATAGCAGTGATTAATTAACCAGCAAAAATAAACGTGTCCCACAGATGGGAAAAATGGGACAAACTTTGCAAACATAGGAAATAAAGGAATGAATAATAGAATATAAAGAATTAAATTCACACCTCTCAACTGTCCTAATTTTGTCGGGAAAGTTAAAGTTTTCGAGGACCTTGTGCAACATGATGACACCAGTAGTACAGGAGACCATATACTCTTAGTCAGATCTATGTTCTCGGTCTGCACAGTGAGACACGTTATGTAAATTAAAAAATATAAAATGGTCAAGAATTTAAATAAATTGAAAATAAAAGTTCTGCAAAATCCTTCTTTAAAACTAGCATCACGTTTTCAAGATGGGGTCTTACAATTGATTTATGAAGGGGCAAAATGATATTTTAATTACATGAATTAATACCCCTTTTTATAATGACAGCACTTTAAAAGCCTTTGCAATGACAGACCATCATTGCATACTGTTGTCCAGTTTGTTATTTATATTCCAAAGTCCTTTTCATTTAATGTGATTCCTATTTCCACCCCATTAAATCTATAAGGAAGGAACTCTAATTAAAAGAAAGCATTTATTATTTTATTTTGGGGGGGGGGAGGGGGCATAGGAGCTGGTTACACCTATATTGTTGTTCTTTCATTTTTTGTCAATGAATAACTATAATAGACCGAAAAAAAGCTAAATAGTGCATTGTGCTGACTCTTGAATGAATCTGCAGTTATTGTGTGTAGTCTGACTCATTACTAATCTGCAAGGTTTGTTATTGAATTTTACACACGTGGCTGTGTGTGTGTCACATGGTACAGGGGGTGTGTTTGTGCACTTGTCTGTGTTTTGCACTCAGTCCCAGCTCTGGTATATATAGGATCAGCTCAGCCCTGCATTTCATACAGCTTCACAGAGCATCCAGAGAGACTCACTGAGATTCTGTTACTATAGCAACAAGCATGGACCCCCAGGACTGTAATTGCGCAACAGGTATGGATATAGAAACTATCTGTATAGAGATAGAATGCATCTAACTAATTATTATTATTACTGGCATTTATAAAGCAACAACAAATTCTGCAGTGCTGTACAATTAGGGAAAAAGACAAACACAATAATAACAGACTGATTACAACAGGTAGAGGGCCCTGCCCGTGAGCTTACAATCTAAAGGTTAAACTGTGGAGATGAGACAAGAGGTAGCAGAGGAATTTGTATGTGATGGCAGAGAGAGTTAATGGTATAACTGCAGCAGCTGATAACATGTGAAAGTAATAGGGAGGTGATTGGTGTGGCTCCAAACAGCTAGAGATGCATGCTATATAGTTAGAAGGAAACAGGGTGGGTAGAGCCGAGTAAAATTTAAATTGGCCTTATGTATTTAAGGAGATATACATAATCTATACAATTATCCAGATGGATGTTTACTCTGCTTAAACTGACTCTATAAATTGAATCAGTGAATTGTGTAATGTGCACTGCCTCTTACTTACAGTACATCCATATATTGGCAATTATTTAGGTAGAGGCTCTGTAAATGGGGCAAATTGCTAGATTCAGACCAAACTTAAAGATGTGGTTGCGTTTTCAACTATTCCCTATTAATAGTTTTATTCCTGGGTTAATGTAAACATATTATAGAATAGCAGGGTTTATTCACTAGAAGTCAAATTGCAATGCCCTGAAAACTGGATTGTAAAAATGCACAGCTGTGCCTATAGGGGGTTGGATACATTTCCCAGATCAGCTGTGTTTTTTTTTTTTTTATTTATTTTTTTTATTTATATCGCCATCAGATTCCGTAGCTCTGTACAATGGGTCTTTTAAAAAATAATTTAAAAAAAATTTCCGTCTTGGTTTTCCCCCCCCCTAATGATTGCAATTTGGTTTTTAGCTGTTTGTGGGTTTGGGTTTTTTTTTTTGTGAATTTCCCCTCCATCATGCTTGAAACACATTGAAGCTTCTTACAAGCAATATGGAAAACTACCAGGTTTATAAATTGGATTAGGACCATAGGCTGTATTAAAATACAGTAGATTTACTGACACCTAATGGCGGTAGGACAATTTCTCCTTTATCCCGAAATGCGTTGGTTGTTATTACTCTAATATCCTGTAACCTGATTTCTTTCCCAGGTGCTACCTGCAATTGTGGTGATGCCTGCAAATGTAAGAACTGCAAATGTAAATCCTGCAAGAAAAGTAAGTGCTCTTAAATGCAGCCTATTGTGTGGGTGAGGGGAGGAGGATGGGAAGTATATTATAAAAATGAACACTGTACTCCAGGGTAGCTCACTAACTCTACACTGAATTATGGGGGGCTATTCTCGTTTGAGGGTCTGTATGTATATATGGCATCTAAAGCTGAACAGAGGGGAAAAAAATCCAAGTCTATCATGTCTTTAGTCTGCCTATTTAGGTCCCAAATTACAAACTCCTTTTTTAATTCCTGACAAACACAATTTTGTTTTGCATTATGAGCACAGATTGGTAACTCCTCCAGCAGCCAAGTGCTACCACTCTCGTGTGTGTTGTCTCCAAGAAAAAAAAACCTTTCTGTGACCGATATCTGTCACGGACATGTCCTCCAAATTTGTAATTAAACCATGCGTTTATTTACTAAATCTAGAATTGCTGTGACTAACCATTCAAATAAACGTTCCATATATATATATATATATATATATATATATATATATATATATATATATATATATATATATATATATATATATATATATATATATATATATATAAATAAATTTTTTTTTTACCTAAATGTTGTAGTTTACCCCCTTAAGGACACATGTCATGATTCCCTTTTATTCCAGAAGTTTGGTCCTTAAGGGGTTAATTCACTACAGCTTGGTGTCTGACAAGTTAGCTGCCCTGAAGAAAGTTCAGATCTCAAACCGAAATGTTGACGGTGATTGAATAATGGTAAACGCTTATTAAAGGACAACTGTCACCTCAAAACTAATAAATCATAAATATAACCCTATCAAAACTTGGTGAAAGGATTATTTTATTAAAATAGCTGTGACTCCTATTCTTAAGAAGTTGGTATACTATCACAGCATATACCAAGGACCCTACGGGGCAGAGTTTTATTTAATTTCCCAAGGCTTCTGTTCTGTTACGGAACTGCTAAACGTTGAAGATCACAATGAATTCCGTTCAGACTGCACTGATTGGCTGATCTTTCTCACATTTGGCTGTTTATATAGTCTCTCTAGAATTTTATAATAACATGTTCATTGTGCTCACATTATGTTTAACTGTAAGGTGGTGCAAACAAGCCCTTCTTCTGACCCTGTTTCTCCCTCCTCTCCCACAGGTTGCTGCCCCTGCTGTCCAGCAGATTGCAGTAAATGCAGCCAGGGCTGTCAGTGTGAAAAGGGAAATGCAAACTGCAGCTGCTGCAAGTGATTGGTGGATCTGCGTCTCTTACTCTGTAATTTCTGTGTTCTGGCCTCATCTGTTTTAATGATCTGCAGTATTTTTGTTAAAAACCTGTAAAATGTTTTAATTCTTACTGTTTTCATAATAAAGAATTCTAAGTTAAAAGTTAATTGTGTTACTAATTAGTGATTCCGTGTCTCAAACCTATTTTGCTGTAACTTGTCTGAACATTAGTCGCCATACTATATAATTTAGTTGTAGACAGTTTAAAGGGGTACTGTACACACCATAACTACTACACTGTATGTTATGGTACAGCTAATTTAAGGATTGCTTTTTATTTTTAACGCCTCCCTTCCACTGTGATTGCAACTGGTTTTTATCTGCCCTGAGCCTGACACTACAGGGGACACTTTTCTCCCAAATCGGACAAATAAATGCACAATAGAACTAGCAGCTACAAGAAACATGGGTTCCGCAAATTAACATTTAAACTGATTCTTGTGGTACACCAACTTCTGAACATTGCTAGGTATACCCTGACATCTGTAAGCGCGATCCTCTTCATTGAGGAGTTGTTGCCTTTTGTATACCACTTTCCCATACCATGGTGTGCTGGACCAACTTACTATTGCAGCTGGACTGTGGAACCAGGGTCTCTCTTGTACCCACAGGTTAGTGGAGCATATTGAGATGCCTAATTTATAACTTTATGGTAAGTGAGCAAGCCCTGTGACAGGGTACACCCACTACCGTAATATGAATACACTTCATAAAGGTACACTTAACCCAAAGAGGAATGTGCCTATTCTGACTGTCAAATACAACTCTGTCTGTTTACATAGAACATGCCACATTGGTCCCTGTCTCTATGAAACTACAGAGGAGACTACTATAACCAATTGTCAGTTATATAGCCCTTTGTGTATCAGAAGGTAACTGGTTTAACAACACTGCTGCAATGAACTCTGCTAATTAGGCTCTTGCAGAGCATGAAGATGTCCATACAAACCATCCAATCGTTGTTCATAATGGTAGCCGTTCTTTCCCCCTCCCCCTCATGGGTGGAACAAAATATCTAATCCTCACATAAAATAGTCTGTTCCAAAATAAGAAACATGAAATGGTAAACGGCTCACTATTCCCAATGACATTAGGCATGTTAACTCCATGTCAGTGTACTTGGGTGTAATTATCTCTTCCCTTTAGCAAACACACAACTTTGGTTGAAGTTAAAGGAACACTGTAAATACAACAAATTGAAGTGATTGGGGTATCCAGAGTCTGTGGGAACTTGGTCCTAAATCACTGCTAAATTATTTATTACAAATTTAGAAGTGATGCTCAGTTCCCAATGATATAAGCAGAGCCAGAGCTATGCTTTCACCTTGCTGCATACCACGAACTGGGGTAGTGATTGGCTAAGCGGTCTATAGTTTGGCTCCACCATTACATTCATGTTGGAGAGCTGCTGGGGACAGAGAATCTCTTCTAAATGGTGGGAGAACCATTTAGTTGGGACGCAGGGCCTGGTACCCACTGCCTGCCTGCAACATAACCACTTCAGTGTGTTTAAATGGTTATGGTGCCTACAGTGCCTCTACACACCATAATCCTTTCATTTCATAGTCCTCTGACTCCATGCTATGGTTCACACGTGTCCCGGGCTTCTCACAGCTTGGCATTCAATAGATGTACACTCCGCCTTGGTGAGAACTCATACCAGCAGTGATCGTCTGAAAATGCTGATTTAACTCTCAACTTTTCACACTTCAGCAACTAAGCCTTATGTTATATCTTCTCCCCCATTCTAGCTTCTTGCACAATGCCTGGTTCTGGACATCCAATAACCAGACCGTTCGCTAGTCACCTAGACTTCTTCATCCTGCCACAACTTCTTTATCTGTGATGCAAATGTCAAACGCCCAATTTTCAGAAAAAGTAAAGTAAGGGTTCTAAGAGTGTCCAAATCACTTTTTTGATTTGTGTTTCAAGACTTTTCTTTTGTATGTTTGGTGGCTAATTTTGTCCTGTAAAATTCTTGCTTCCAAAACTTACGAACCAAGGATGAGAGCTAGAGATTTCAGAGGTCTAAAAAAATACAGGCTTGCAGCGATATGGCCGTGTGTTCAAAGATAACGTATTTAGACCATACGATTACCTGGAGACACTGGCTCCACTGAACAGGAGACTATTTTAGATATTTGCGACAATAGAGTAATGCAGGCAGCCACTGTCCCCATGACCTTATTTGAAAGATTGTGTATGATAGCCCACAGAAGGGTTCAATCACTACCATTTATGCCCAGCTTAGCGCTCCAGTGGGAGATGAGGGTAACCTGAGATACGTGGACCAGTGGGAAACGGACTTGTAACAGACACTGGAGGGTGGAGACTAGGAGTACATTTTGGAGGCAGTGGTAAAGTGGTTAAAACCTCAATTTGTGCAACACTCCAAGAGCAATTGTATAAAATGCTGATGAGGTGGTACACAACCCCAGTTAAATAATTCCACAGGGGCAAATCTCCAAGAGAGGATGTGGCCATTATGTGCACATGTGGTGGACGTGCCCCAAGGTAGTGCAGTACTGGAACATGATCAGGGCCTTACTAAAAGGTATAATGCATAGACAAATGTAAATTGAACCATGATCATTCTTAATAACCAAACCAACCAAAGGCCTTAACTTCATGAAAATAAAATTTGTTAAATAAGGCGGGCTTTAGCACAGACATGGCTTAATATAGATAGAAATACCTAATATTTATAGAGTTATAGCGAAAATGAAAGATAATTACCTGATGGATAAACTTACGACTCAGGTAAGTTTATCCATCAGGTAATTACCAGAGAGAAGCTTCCATCACCTTTTATACATTTATCTATTCTTTTTTTTTCTTTAGCGTAGGGAATTTTGTTTAATTGATTGGAAAAAAAAATCTAAAAACTTGGAGTAAGAAGACAAAAAGTATTATTGATACACGAGTCATAACATGTATAGCCATATTGTGCTTTGGAATTGTCTATGTTTTCTGTGATACTGTCTGTCATACGCATGTCAATGTTACTTTTATTACAATATGTCATTGAACGAAATACTTGTCTACCTATAAAAAAAGAATTTAAAGAAATAGATAAAAATTTACTTTTCCAGCGTCACTCTGCTATCAGTGCTACCGGTTACAGGTCAACAGATAACACAATCACACAAAAGGGAGTGACGTGCAGTCACTTCCTCCCAACAGTGATCTCATCACAGGGGGCCCGGTCAGCGCTGGGTGCTTTAACAGTGCGACCGGGCCCCCTGATAATCCATATCCACCGGGTGGCCCTGACAGCATGGACCCGTTCACGTGCGGCCCCGGCAGTTTTCGTGCAGGACGGGGCCGCAAAACGTGGCAGCTGGTACCCAGTCGCAGGGGTTCGCAGGGCGGCCAGGCCTCCTGGACTGACGGGTTCAGTCGCAGCTGCGACACTTGCGATCGCGGTATATACGTGAATACTAGTCATCGACACAGTATGATGAGGTGGTACAGTCTGAGCAACTGAGGACTTTATACAGAAGGAAAGAGTGACTCCCGAGTCTGTTCCTAGACCTTTATGTAGCCATATGTCAATACACATAAAAAACAACGCATAAAGATAACGTAAATCAGAAGTAACACAAGTACAATAAAGAAATATGAGTAAAAGTGTGAACTGGCTGACATGGCAATAGGTATCTGTAATATTCTCTTCTTCGCATCTGTCATGGTATAACACCTGGTGTCCATCCCAAGCCCTCGGAACCCCCATACAGGTTTGGGTGTATATTACCCCGTGAGTGTGCCTCATGGTAAACCAAACCAGTCTCTCTCCGCTGCATGCACCCATCATCCTGTGCCATTCCCCCCTCTGCTGTACCACTTTTCCCATATTTCCCATGTCTCCCTGAACTGTGTGGTTATTAAGCAATTTTTGTATTTTAATATAGATCATATTGCCAAAACAATTGGATTGGTTAACAATCCAACCAAATATGGGCCAGTCCTCCTTTATCTATTTCACATCTCCAAAATCTATCTGTACGGTCATGGTATGTTTTTGCTAACCTACTAGGTACCAGATACCACGTATTTAATATGTTATAGTGTACCTTCACCAAATTGAGGCAGTGCACTTTTTATTGACTAATTTTATTGATTCAATCCACTCTTTATAATCAATTTTTGTTTTTAATTCTTGTTCCCATTTTTTTACAACGGTTAGGAGAGGTGTCTCTACATCCTCGCTTATCAATGTTATAGAGCCTGCTGCTAATCTTTTCAGAGTATTGGTCTTAAGCACGTTTTCTAACTTAACAATTGTATTAGTTTTGACAGTAACCAGATGGTTATCTAGGTGGCTCTTTACTCTCAAGTATTTAAAAATGTCTTTATTTTGTAACTGAAAAAATTAGAAAGTGTGTAAAAATCTTGGATTTTATTATTCTTCAATCGATCTTCAATAGTAACTATTCCAGAGGAGAACCAACTATTTAGATTAAGATCTTCAATGTTATGGGTTAAATGACTTAAAGGCAATACAGCTACAATCTTATGAGATAAGTGGCAATCCTTTCTAAATTTATCCTAAATAGTCAAAAGATTTTTAAGTACAATACTTTTTAACATTTTTTTTGTCGATATCTTTTATTTTTATCTCTTTTCAACCAAAAAAATTGATTCTAGCTTAATTTCTCCATTAGTTTATAACAGTATTGACCCTATAATATACCAAGCCTCATTTCTGACCCAGTCTAAATAAGTAATAATGGCATGCATCAGGCCACATGCCTGCCAGATTACTTTTAACTGGGGAACTCCCAACCCCCCCTTGATTTGATTTTAATAATAGGCATTTAGCACTAATGCAGGGCTTTTTACAGAGCCGCACATATTTATCAAGTACAAATACAACACAAGGATGGCTTAGGGGCAACTCTGTGAATAGTCTTGTGTGTATTACATCCAAGTAATACCAAGTGGCCCACTGAGGATACCGGGAAATATCCTGGTGGGACATGGCACCTGGGGCTAGGCAGACAGCCCTAATCATCAGACTAATGCCCTTTTAACTTATTTTCCCCTCGGACTGTGAGTCAGTCTGAGGAGATTAATGAAGGAGGTGCTGGGGGCTAATGCGGTTGCATTTAGGCTGCCGGCGGCTGGAGAGAGCACTTTGAGTCTCCTTTCACAA